CCCCAAAACCCCAAAACCCCAAAACCCCAAAACCCCAAAACCCCAAAACCCCGGTTTTTGTATAAAAAATTGAAGGCCGGGAATGGTCTTTTAAAACTTATTTACCAACAGCTTGGGATTTCTCTTCGATGAGTTCTTTTTCAGTGATTTGCATCTTCTCTTTAGAGTAATCATCAATCTTGTATCCATCTACAATCTTCCAAGTGCCTTTATGGCATGTCACTGGGAAGGAGTACATGAGTCCTGATCTAATTCCATAAGAGTTTCCGTCACTGATCACTCCCATTGAGACAACCTTACCTGGCTTCGTTCCAACTAGCCAGTCGTGGATGTGATCACAAACAGCATTGGCAGCACTGGCTGCTGATGAGAATTTTCTAGCAGCAATAATGGCAGCTCCTCTCTTTTGGACAGAGGGGATGAAGGTTTCCTTCAACCACTTATCACATAGAGTTGACTTAGCATTCTCCACGAATCCCTCAGCTGGGTAGTCAGTAATTGTTGCATGAGTCACATCTGGATATTGGGTTGCAGAATGATTTCCCCAAATGATGACGTTGTTAACGTTTTCAACTGGAACTCCAACCTTATGAGCTATCTGTGCTTCAGCTCTGTTTTGGTCAAGTCTAGTTAAAGCTGTAAAGTTCTCTCTTGGGATACTTGGAGCGTTCAATGATGCAATCAAAGCGTTAGTGTTGGCTGGATTTCCTACTGCGAGAACCTTGACTGTCTTCTTAGCATATTTGTCTAAAGCTTCCCCTTGTTCTTTAAAGATATTACCATTATCTCTTAAAAGATCTTTTCTTTCCATTCCAGGACCTCTTGGTTTCGCACCTACAAGAAGAGCCACGTCAATGTTTTTAAATCCTGCTTCAGGGCATGTAGCTCAGATAATGTCTTTAACAAGTGGGAAGGCTCCATCATCAAGCTCCATCTTAACTCCTTCGAGAGCCTTCTTCATTGTTGGAAGATCTAGTAGATGAAGAATTACTTTCTGATATGGACCAAACATTCTCCCTTGAGCAATCATAAATAGAAGGGAGTATCCGATAGATCCTGCAGCTCCAGTCACTCAAACCCTGAGAGCTTCTTTTTCAGACTTCTTCTCAAGTGTTGGGAAGTGCCTTCCGATAGTGGCAAGCCTTCTTACAGCCTTTGCATTGAATGAATTGTCCATTTTTCTCTTAATTTTAATTAATGATGTCATCTTTAAGTTTAAAATTAGGGGTTTTGGGGTTTTGGGGTTTTGGGGTTTTGGGGTTTTGGGG